CTCTAAGCACATTGACTAAATGTGTGAAGGAGTTGTATCTCCAGGGCTATTGTTATTTAACTTTTAGTGAAAAGGGAACTTGGAAGCCCCTCTTTGGAGACAGTGGGCTCTGGGTAGACACTAGATAGATATTACAGAGCCAAAAGCTCCTCTCCTGTCCCTTCCCCCTTTGAAAGAGTGATTATAGAAACACACATACAAGATAACCCATTATGTTATGAATGAAGAGGTAACTACACGTTTCCTTAAATTTTGGTCATGTGTTAAGGCTACAGAAACAGTATCAATCAGCTCTGGCAATGGGCATGAATGAAAGATGCCACATTCTGAATCTGAAAAGTGGCTGAAGGAAAGAGTGTCAAAAGAGTGTCTGTTACCCCCTTTCCTGTTTTATTCTTGGGAGGTCTATTTGCAAACACAATGGCCACAATACTGGTGGTGTCGCATCCCTAAAATGCTGGATTGGGGGTCAAACAAAGCAAGATGCTGTGAGAACCGCAACTGGATCTGGTGGATAGATCATGGTCCTTGTGCCAGGGCAAGCGCAGCCATTAGTGTTAGCTTACTGTTATTGTTAGCACCTTTTAATGTTGTAATTGTTACATGGCTTTATGATTATTATACTATTTATTGTTGTTTTTATCCTGTTGTAAGCCACCCTGAGCCGGCCACAGCTGGGAGGGCGGGGTATAAATGTGATAGATAGATAGATAGATAGATAGATAGATAGATAGATAGATAGATAGATAGATAGATAGATAGATAGATAGATAGATAGATAGCTGGCTATTTTTGGGCAGGAACGGAGTTCCGGCTGGCTCCCGAGTTGGCCACGCCCAGCAGGAACTCATTAGCATAATAGACCACACCCAAGAGCAGAAACTCATTAGGATTGGCTACATTAGGGGGGTGTGGCCTAACATGCAAAGGAGTTCTGCTACAAAAAAAGCTCTGGATTTTGACAACAAACAAGGTAAACAGAATAAGAAGCAAAAGGTGGGTGTGGCTGGATGACCACACTTCTGGTAACATGGGGGTGTGGTCTAATGTGCTAATGAGCTGTGCTGTCAGGGGTGTGGCCTAATATGCTAATATGCTAATGAGTTCCTGCTCTTGGGTGTGGCCAATTATGCTAATGAGTTCCTGCTGGACTTTTTCTACAAAGAAAGCCCTGGATAGATGGATGGATGGATGGATAGATAGATAGATAGATAGATAGATAGTGGCGTGGGTCTCAGAAGTTTCTAAATGGCACGGGCAGCCATGTGGGCCCCCAGTTTGGTTTGGGGCTACAACCTCGAGGAGGGGGGCTTCACAAATCAAATCAGAGGAGGCCCCATTCTGTCATTAGCCTCGTCTTCTTTCATTTCTAGGGCTAACAAAACCCATGGGGGGGGTCAGTTCCAGCAGCGGGGGGGTGGGACCAGGGGGCTGGACGTCTTCCCCTACCGTGGGAGGTCCAGCCTCCCTACCCCAAGGCCATTTCAGCATGCTGAAATGCCACAGGGGTGGGAACAGCGAAGCCACTTCTATCTGCATGCTGCAGTCATCATAAAAATTGGGCCCTTGTGCATCTGGGAGGCACAGAGCTCCCATTTGATGTAGAAGTGGTGTGGTGGCCACGGGGACTTTGAATCATGCGGATCAGCCCTATGCTAAAGGGAGCTCTGATTCTCAAAAGAAGAGGAGGAGACTAGATTTGTACCCCGCCCTTCACTACCCGAAGGAGTCTCAGAGCGGTTTACAATCTCCTTTCCCTTCCCCTCCCCACAACAGACACCCTGTGAGCAGTGTTCCCTCTAAGCTGAGTTAGTGTGAGCTAGCTCACAGTTTGTAGCCTCCGGCTCACACATTTTTTGTCCTAGCTCAGGAAGGATAGCTTCAGAGCAAACTGATTTATGCAGTAGCTAAATCTCTCGCTCACAACTTTAATGCCAGTGGCTCACAAAGTAGGATTTTTGCTCACCAGACTCCACCGCTTAGAGGGAACATTGCCTGTGAGGTAGGTGGGGCTGAGAGTGCTCTCTCGAGAACTGCCCTTAAGCGAACAGCTCTGAGAGAACTTATGACTGACCCAAGGTCACACCAGCAGGTGCAAGTGGAGGAGTGGGGAATCAAACCCGGTTCTCCCAGATTAGAGTCCATGCTCCTAATCACTATACCGAACTGGCTCTCCTAACCACCACACCAAGCTTATACCCCGGAAATGCTGATGGTCCCTAAAGCGCTCCTGAATCTAGCTCTTCTACTGAGGCCCTGTGCTGACTGTCCTTCCCTATACCTTGCGGCAGTGAATCACACAAGTTAACTTTGCGTTGCATGAAGCAGCATCTCTATGGTTCTCCCTTTCTCATTCTATCCTTTGAGGTAGGTTATACTGAGACGGAGTGACTGGTCACCAGTGTTTCCTCTAAGCTGAGTTGGTGTGAGCTACCTTGCAGTTTTTTAGCCTCCGGCTCACACATTTTTGTCTTCGCTCAGGAAGGATGGCTCCAGAGCAAACTCATTTATGCAGCAGCCAAATCACCTGCTCGCAACTTTAATGCCGGTACCTCACAAAGTAGAATTTTTACTCACAGGACTCCACAGCTTAGTGGGAGCATTGCTGGTCACACAGCAAAGTTCATGGCTGAATGCGGATGGACTTGAACCCAGATCTTATTCCGACGCTCCGATCGCTACACCGTACAAATGCTGCCTCTCTACAGCCCTTGAAATACTCCAAAGCCCTTCAGACTGATAATCGATAGCCAGTCTGACTGAAAAGTTCACCACGAATCAAGTCTTATGCCCGAGAAATCGCAACACAGTCTAAGGACACATAAACCATTTTGGCTTCCAGCCACTAACCTGAGACGCAAACCTCTGTCATCATAGAGAGGCAGAGACAGAGTGATGCCACCGAGAACCAGCACAGCCACTGGTGGTTTTTGTTTCACTTCCAAAAAATCTCACTCTGTCCTTTTCCTCATCCCTACGGTTATTCTGCCCTGCCCTGAATGTTCCTGGCTGGCCTAGTCTCATCAGAGCTCAGAAGCCAATAATAATAATAACATCAGAGAACATAAGAGACGCCAATGTTGGATCGGGCCAAAGGGCCATCCAGTCCAACACTCTGTGCCACACAGTGGCCAGAAATACCAGTGCCATCAGGAGGTCCAGCAGTGGGGCCAGGACATTAGAAGCACTCCCACTGTTGACCCCCCCCCCCCACACACCATCACTTGCCCCAGAGCCCCTAGCTATACCTTGTGGCTAATAGCCACTGATGGACCTCTGCTCCATATGCTTATCTAATTCCCTTTTGAAGCTGTCCATGCTTGTAGCACCCACCACTTCCTGTGGCAGTGAATTCCATGTGTTAATCACTCTTTGGGTGAAGAAGTACTTCCTCTTATCCGTTCTAACCCGACCGCTCTGCAGTTTCATGGAGTGCCCACGAGTTCTTGTATTGTGAGAAAGGGAGAAAAGTACCTCTTTCTCTACCTGCTCTTTCCCATGCATAATCTTATAAACCTCAATCATGTCACCCCTCAGTCATCGTTTCTCCAAGCTAAAGAGCCCTAAGCGCCTTAACCTTTCCTCATAGGGAAAGTGTTCCAACCCTTTTATCATTCAAGTTGCCCTTTTCTGCACTTTTTCCAAAGCTATAATATCCTTTTTAAGGTGTGATGATAATAATAATAATCACATGGCATTTGTGTGTAGGATAGCCAGGAGATCCTAAGATTGTCTGGCAGCCCGAAGTTCTAGTTCTTTTAGGTTTATGTACCACTACCGTAGGTGGTGAGCTGGACCCTCGTACTTGAATGGGAGACCACCAAGGAAGTCCAGGGTCACTACACATAAGAACAAAGGCCCATCCAGTCCAACACTCTGTGTCACACAGTGGCCAGAAATACCAGTGCCATCAGGAGGGCCAGCAGTGGGGCCAGGACATTAGAAGCCCTCCCACTGTTGACCCCCCCCCCAAGCACCAAGATGACAGAGCATCACTTGCCCCAGAGTCCCTATCTATACCTTGTGGCTAATAGCCACTGATGGACCTCTGCTCTATATGCTTATCTAATTCCCTTTTGAAGCCGTCCATGCTTGTAGCCACCACCACCTCCTGTGGCAGTGAATTCCAAGTGTTAATCACTCTTTGGGTGAAGAAGTACTTCCTCTTATCCGTTCTAACCCGACCACTCAGCAATTTCATGGAGTGCCCACGAGTTCTTGTATTGTGAGAAAGGGAGAAAAGTACCTCTTTCTTTACCTGCTCTTTCCCATGCATAATCTTATAAACCTCGATCATGTTACCCCTCAGTCGTCTTTTCTCCAAGCTAAAGAGCCCTAAGCGCTTTAACCTTTCCTCATAGGGAAAGTGTTCCAACCCTTTTATCATTCGAGTTGCCCTTTTCTGCACTTTTTCCAAAGCTATAATATCCTTTTTAAGGTGTGATGATAATAATAATAATCACATGGCATTTGTGTGTAGGATAGCCAGGAGATCCTAAGATTGTCTGGCAGCCCGAAGTTCTAGTTCTTTTAGGTTTATGTACCACTACCGTAGGTGGTGAGCTGGACCCTCGTACTTGAATGGGAGACCACCAAGGAAGTCCAGGGTCACTACACATAAGAACATAAGAACATAAGAGACGCCAATGTTGGATCAGGCCAAAGGCCCATCCAGTCCAACACTCTGTGTCACACAGTGGCCAGAAATACCAGTGCCATCAGGAGGTCCACCAGTGGGGCCAGGACATTACAGTGGGGCCATACAGACCATCTAGTCCTACTCCAACCCCCTGCCCAATACACAGAGGCAGGCAATAGCAAACCACCTCTGAAAGTCTCTTGCCTTGAAAACCCTACAGATTGGCATGTCAGTTGTGACTTGACGGCAATATTCACCGCCATGGTTATCTTGATGAATCTTACAAGCCATCTCCTAGTGAGTAGACTCTGGACAGTCTCCTCCTTTCCGACTGTGGACAGCCCAAGTGGGCGACACCTACCTGCAGTGTGTTTACTGGGAAAGAGGTGATGGGTGGGAAGTCCATGATCTGCAGGTCGTGGACGTGGCCGTTCATGACCACGGCAGGCAGGTAGATGCGGCGGGCTTTGGTGGGCACACAGACCTCGCTGAACTCGTTGTAGAGGAACTGAACTCTTTCCGACCCCTTGAGCACCCAGCACGGCAATCTTGAAAGTTGTCACCATGCCTCCCGGCCGTGGCCCCCGCGCGCGACGTGGTGATCGGCTCCTTGGCGCAGTCCGCTGCCTTTGCGCTGCCAGGAAGGCCCCCGGGCTGCATATTCCGGCAGCTGCGGTTTCAGCCACGGACAGGAACCATTTCCTCGTTGGCTTGACCCGTCACTGGAAGACCAAGAGAAATCTCGTTTGAAAAGAATAAATGGCTTTGCATCCAGGCAGACCAGGGGCTGTGTCTTAGCGGTAGAGCATCCGCTTGGGATGCAGAAGGTCCCAGGTTCAATCCCTGGCATCTCCAGTGGAAATGATCAGGGAGTAGGTGATGTGAAAGACCCTGAGACCCTGGAGAGCCACTGCCAGTCAAAGTAGACAATACTGACCTTGAGGGTCGATGGCAGCTTCATGTGTGTCCAACTAAACCAGATTGGTCTACTCGGGCCGGCCGTAACTTTCCAAGACCTCAGGCGCAGAAAATTCTTTCCCAACTGGAGGTTCTGGGGATTCCACCTGGGATCTTGTTCACAGACCGTAGGTTTTCTGCCACTGAATCACCAACTCCCCCCAAAACCTAAACACATCAAACTCCTGGTCCAAGCAGTCTCCTCTCCCTGACAGCAGCTCTCCAGAATCGCACGGAAGAAAGGTGTTCCCCAGCACCAGCTACCTGAGACCTTTCAAGTCGAGAACGAACCTGGGGATATCTTTATGCCAAGCAGTTGCTTTATCACTGAGCCAGACCTGCCAGTCAAGTAACAACCCCCCCCCCCGAGTCAGCACTACACTGCCTTTATTCTCAGCACAAAATGCTTGGCCAAATTATTAAGAAGAATCAATTAATCTGTAAAAGTGAATTAAATGTTACCCGTCACTGTCTCAGTGGTGGTGAAAAGGGCTGTCAAGGTGCAGCCAACTGATGATGACCTCATAAGGTTTTCAAGGCAAGAGAGGAGCATAGAATCATAGAGTTGGAAGGGGCCATACGGACCATCTAGTCCAACTCCAACCCCCTGCCCAATGCAGGACCAGCCTAAAGCATCTCTGGCAAATATTCATCCAACCTCGAAAGGTGTCAGTGAAGGGGAGCTAACCACCTCCCTAGGCAGCTGATTCCACCTTTGAACCACTCTAGCCGTGAAAAAGTGTTTCCTAATATCCAGCCGATTACCTTTCTGCATGTAATTTAAACCCGTTGCTTCGGGTCCTATCCTCTGCTGCCAACTGGAACAGCTCCTTGCCCTCCTCCAAATGACAGCCTTTCAGATATTTACAGAGAGCAATCATGTCCCCCATCAATCTCCTCTTCTCCAAACTAAACATTACCAAGGCCCTCAGTCTTTCCTCATACGGCTCAGTCTCCAGACCCCTGATCATCCTCGTCGCTCTCTTCTGCACCCTCTCGATTTTGCCCACATCCTTTTTGAAGTGAGGCCTCCAGAACTGCACACAGTACTCTAGGTGTGTCCTGATCAAGGCAGTATACAGAGGGGGCTATGACCTCCTGCGATTTCAGTGCTATGGCCCTTCTAATACAACCCAAGCAGAGGTGGCTTGCCATTGTCCGCTTGTGGGCAGGAACCTTGGTGGTCTCCCTTCCAAGTACAGAACCTGCTTAGCTTCATGAGATCTGATGAGATCGGGCCATGCCATGCCTTGCCACCTCCCCCACCCC